TTGCTGAGATGTGAGAACTAGATATTATATGCCAAATGTCCACCAGTGATATACATTGCTGTCATTCATATGCTTTTGATGTTTTTCCTTAAAAAAACAGTTTGCTGGCCTACACAGAGCAGTACATCGAATACGACCCCTTCCTCACGCCTCCAGACCCTTCAAACCCCTGGATCTCAGACGACGCCACACTCTGGGAGCTTGAAGCCAGGTGGGTGATACATGTCTAGATACATTTTACGTAGATTAGTTGATATATTTAGGTGTGTTTTGTTGCACACATGCATCCTCTGAGAAAGACGTGTTGCATTTTGGTGTGTCCTTTTTCAGTAAGGAGCCAGGCCAGCAGAGGGTAAAGAGGTGGGCTTTTGGCATCGATGAGGTTCTCAAAGATCCAGTGGGAAGAGAGCAGTTCCTCAAGTTCCTGGAGTCTGAGTTCAGCTCAGAGAATCTCAGGTACTCACCAACACAAAACACTCATGAGAACATTGTCTTGCCATGAATCCCCTGGAGGCTTGAACTAACCTTAAAGCTTCAATCAATTTTTTTGACTTCATTAATATGAATTATAATCAGATACATAATTAGAGAGTGTGACTCACACCCAAATAACAAAGCATGTTGTTTCTCAGCTGATTTAATATATTCATATTTAATATACTGCCATGCTTTACTCCACAGTGTGCAAATCAATATTTTACGTCATCAAATTTCTTATTAGAATTTAATATACAACAATTCATCATATTTTATAAGATGATTTTATGTTTAATATGTAATATCTGCAAAGCAACAATAACTTTAGCTGTAAAATAATTATAGTAAGAAGTACATTTGTCTCTGAAATGAAATAAGTATAAAGTAGCACAAAGTAGATATACTCAGGTGAAGTGCCTAAATAATATAGCTGGTAAGATAGCTGGATCCAGTCATGTTTTTTGTAATCAGAATTACGGACTGTGCCCTCAAGCGTAATTGCCACATGCTGAATCACAACCCTTACAGCTGCCTGAACCTTTGCAAATTGTTCCCTCAACCACAAACCAAGTCGTAAGCCTAAAATAAACGGTTAACTTTGTGGGACCAGATTTTGTGTCTTCACAATGTGACTGTGTGAACAGATATTTGTCGCCACAACGTCATTAAAAACAACACACGCACATAAATGCACACGTGAAAGACTGTGGAGGATTTAACACTCACAAAGTCACACGCACACATGCACACATTGTTGAAATGTTCACATTCACTATATGATACACACAAACATAGCGCTCGTGTCCTCATGTGGTTTGACTGGAATAGCTGAACATTGGTTTTCTGTGGTTCTCTACTGGTGAGAGACATGATCAATAATATTCACTTTTTTACTGTCTGCACACATAATAACGTGCTAACAACCATCATTGTTATTACTGGGGTCAGTGCTTTTTTCTTGTATAAGAGGTAATACAGTGAAATTGTTTAATCGAAGCAGGGAGAGCTGGTGGGTGCAGCGTTTAAAAAGAGAATGCACCACAGTAGCTGTTTCTAGAATAACACAGGTGGGAAGGAATATTATGTTAATTGATTTATTCATGGTAACAGGAATGCTGCAGAGTATCAAAGATGCATGCAAACAGCTTAATATGAATAGAGCAACCACTGTGCAGCATAGCTTTTCTGCTCCCTCTGATGGTACATGCCTGTATTGTTTCTGCCCAAAGCTCATAATGTGGTCAGTTTAATTGAATTGTAATTTAATATCTCAGTCTGTTGAGCATCATTTTAACTCTCCTATAATTGAACGGATGTATCACTAACCTGAAACATGCTGCTATTAATGGACATATTGACCCTGTAAACCCTAACTTTTTGAAATTGAACTTGCTGCATGGTGCTGTAACTGTCCAACATTAAATGCTCTCAAAAGGAATTATTTAATTATTATATAAAATGTGTGAATAAAAGCTGATTTACATGGTTTACTATTACTTGTGCCACTTTTAATTTGTGCCACTTTTAATTTGTGGTCAGAGCTACTGCATTGTTTACCTTTGGGCTGTAGGTTCTGGCTGGCGGTCCAGGAACTAAAGAAGCGTCCCATCAGAGAAGTTCCAACCCGGGTTCAGGAGATCTGGCAGGAGTTTCTGGCCCCCGGAGCGCCCAGTGCCATCAACGTGGACTCCAAGAGCTACGGCAAAACCACCCAGAACGTCAAAGATCCTGGACGCTACGCCTTTGAGGATGCACAGGTTCAAATGATACAAACACGTTAAATCATATCCACAGCTAATTTCTGTTCATGTTCTGTACATAAGCAGGGACAAGTTCAACTGACTGGAATGTTGCTTGTGATCTGAAACTGTATTATTTGCAACTGTCACAACAGCAACAGTTTATGTTGCAATTTATGAATCACAACTCTGTTTTGGTGGTCAATGAAATATTGCATTTTATCCAATTCCACTCAGCATGATGTGCTCCTGCACCTGTGCTTTTGTAAATTATTTTCACATTATGTGTTTCTACAACAGGAACACATCTACAAGTTGATGAAGAGTGATTCCTACAGCCGATTCATCCGCTCCAGTGCCTACCAGGAGTTATTACAGGCCAAGAAGAAGGTGAAAAAAAACATGCTTCAAAACATTGGATGAAATCTTAGTTTGAAAATAGCAATAAGATGTAGAGAACTAAATGCAGGTATATGCTGACTCTTTAGTGATGCTGAAACCTGTCTTCCTAGCACCCAGTGTCCTGCCATTCACACAATATAGTTGCTGTTGCACTAACCTTTAGTGACATATCCTGCGACAGGGGCGGGGTTGATTTAATTCTACTCAGTAACACAGACCTTTTTAACCACTAAGAGGCAGAAAATCATAATGGTTTAGAACATCATGAGCAGGATCAAGTAAATGTCCTCCTACAAATAATGTACTGTGTCTGATGTGGATATACAATTCCTCAATACAGCGATGTATGTGGTAGGGTTGCTTAAAGGTGCAAACCAGATCAAACTAAATGGTACCTGGCTGCCAGCAATAGCAATGAGGAGCAGACAGAGTGAAGACAACATTTTATTAACAGAGTCTGCTGCAGGTGTGGATGGTGGAGTCGCTGATCAGAACTCCTTTTGGGTTTGAAGAAACCATTATGAATACCAGAGACGTAGAGGCTTTCATAACATGATGAATAATTCTGAATTGCACACTTGTATTTTTGTGTTCAAAACCTGCTCTGTCTCATGCCTCCTACACGTCCACTGCCTGCCATTCTGGCAAAGAAGATTTAGCTATGACAGTTAGATGTTTTTGATAAGATACCATGTGAATGCAGTACATTGGAGATGACTATTTTTAATACCTTTATAATGATGGAGTACGTTATTTTCTACATAATAATTTATACATGGAATCCTGAATCCTCTGCATGGTAAATTTACTTAACGTCTCTTTTTTTTGTCCCCACAGAAAAGTAAGAACTTGTTCTGAAGGATTTTGCTTCCAGGTAATGTCCAATACAAACACACACTGTACATTGTCAGCTGTTGTATTGTCAGTGATACTGCCAATTACTGTAGGTATGTTGTGATAGACACTTTTGTTTTTTGCATCTTTTCTGTTTTTAGATATGTAGAACGATATGTAATGTTACATTTATTTTACATTCAGCTCAAATCTTAAATTTGCACTGTGCATGCAATGCAAATGCATGGCTGCTCATATTGTTATTCAACCAGAACATACACGTATTTATTCTCTCTCACTCTCATTTACATATTGACCTCATTCTCTTTTCCACCTGTCTGTTCTGCCTTCCTTCTCTTCTCCCATCCCAGGGGAAACCACGAGCATCCAAGAAGCTGACCAGTCATGTGCCATCATGCTAAAATCAATGCCATCTCTCTCTCTGGGACATTGAGAGGGGGGGACCATCTCATCTCTTCGTCATCATTGTCTGTCCATCCGCTCTTGGCTCAGCCGGGCGATGAGCCGGACCGTCTGTTCGTCTGTTGTCCACCGGATGTTGCATGTCCATGGAGAGGATTTTCCTTCTTCACTCTCCTCTTACAGTACCTGATATATTTCCAGTATTCTTAGAAAGGAGGCACTGCTGGACTTGTGAGAACACTGACAGACTGGCGGGATGACAAATGCCATTGACGGAAATCAAATTCAGTGTTCCAGTTCTTTCCATTGTAACTGCTGGATCAGAGGCTCCTCTCTCACTTCCAGCTGAAACAAATGATGTCAGAGAGAAAAGAAAAAAAAGAAAAAAAAAAGTAAAATGACAGCTTAAACTGATAAATCTAACCAATGTCATCGCTTTACATGATCTGGCTTCACAGATACTTTGTCACGCTATGGGAAGTGTTGTGCAGAATGAATATACAATATATATACATACATATATATTATGATTATTATTATTATGGTTAGTTATTGTGCATATATTTTGCTTTGCATTATTTTATTGCATTACATATGGTTTTCATTGCACTTGTAAAGTCACATTCACAATTACAAAAATACTGTCTCCTGTCTCATGTAGAACATAATTCTTTGTTATTCTCTCCTGCATTTATTTTTATACCATATTTAAAGACACTTTTACTTATTTGTATTATTAAAGTTGGCCCTCTATCTGTTACAATGTCCTGGGTTTGGATTTCTTCAAACTTTTTGATCAAACAAAGTGCAACTTTAGCATTCATTCGTTCATTCTGCAGGGTTAGAAGAATCCAATAAGTAGTTGAATAATGCACTTTTGGTTTCGCCCACTAGAGGGTGTTAAATTATTTCCTACTGCAGGGATCTGCCTCCTCTCAGCAACCAGCTCTTCCTCAACACAGATCAGCAAAATGCACCACAGTACTCTGCAGAAAAATGAAGTTTTGTCATGCAAGAGTGTCATCATCCTCTGGTCTGCTGAAGGGGTTATTGTTCAGACTGTACCCATGTGAGGTTTTGCAAGGTCTGTTGATGTTTCGGCTCTTTGATGGCAGAAGTGACAGCCAGTTCTTTTCAGTCTCTGTGCCCAGTGGTCAGCTTAGCAAGAGCCACAAAACAGACAAACATTATTGTCTCAGTTGCAACGAGGAATGTGAATTGTGGCATTTTTCAAAGCATTCTGTTAGTGTGTCTTGGTACATACATAGAGGAGTGATTTATGGATTGGGGATTATGGGTTGTAATGTGATGTGGTCACGGTGCCGATGAGCGAGGATAATTTAGGGGTATTGAAGGACATCATTGTTTCTTCACAATTTTGTCCTTTATTGTTCATGGTGGCAAAATGTCAACCCTCTCCTAAAAATGTAAATGTCAATCACAGGGATATGGGTAAATAAAACTTACAATGGAAAAAAAAGACAACAAAGGAAAAGCTGTCATTTTGAAAGTTTTATATATCATGGATGGATGGATTTCAAAAAAAGATATAAAAGACAAATATCAATAGGCAGAGAGAGACAGACACAGGGAAAGACAGACTTAAATGAAAGAAAGCTTGGTTTGATTCACAAAATGACCAATAGGATAAACCCTCCCAGTTTTGAGGAGGGAAGGGGGTGGTGGGGATTCAAACTAAGGCAGGCTTTACAGTGAGTCAACCACTCTCAAAGACAGACTACAGACAGTCTCCACGGCACTAAGATACGGGCTTTCTGTGACGGGAGATCTGGAGCTTCTCTCTACAACCGAAAAACAAAAAGCCTAAAAAAAAGACAGTTAGACTGAAATAGTTAGAAAGAGACACCGCTTGTCCAGGGGGATGGAAAATTGATCGAGTCCACGATTTAGAAACTTTGGTTGGTAGAGGAAAAAAAAAAAGAGGAGCAAGGACAAGCCTCAGGATACTACAGATTATGTTGCCATGGAAACCGAAACCTGGAAGCGGACGCAAGGACCACTGAAGGTGGACATCCTCCCTTGACTGCATCCTTGACGCGTTACTGTCCTGCTGCGACCCCGTGGTGAGAGGTACAGAAACCATACTTTATGCTTCACTGCTATAACACCTATTCAACTCTCTAACACTTTATTTAACAGCCAAAGAGCTCTTTCAACAGCGTTGCAAGAACTTTCTGAGGGTGTTTTAAAATGTCAACTATAACAAAGAGTATGCACTAGTTACAAATGAATGCCATGTCACTCCATAAATTCAACATTTAAATTACCCCCGCTTCTGTGGCTGAATCAACAGGAAATAAAAAATACAATGATAAATGCTTTGATAATGGACATTCTTTGCAGCGTATGTGCAGAAACAGTGACTATACAAGTGATACTATCATCTACCACTTGGATTTACTGAGAAAAGTGCAGATAAGTGAGTGCTGGTTCAACATATCACTCATATGACTCAGTGAGTCTCTGAATGACTAAGCGCCGAAACATGTAATCCGACCAGCAGTAGTTGTACAGCTATTTAGTATTTCTGCCAGCAGTGAGGGTTTGATTCCCACTGGGGCCACCCATTGTAATAAAATATACACCTTCGAGGTACTGTAAGGTGTTCTGGATAAAAGTGTCTACTAAATTACTATAATTAGTGGCTGGAGCTTCCAGGGAATTAGTGTTGTGAGTGAGATAATTAGTGAGTGATGACAGTGTGTTGTACTTTGCATCACAGTGAGATTAAGAATCAGTTTAGTTTTTCCAGTGAATATGAAAAAGAGAGAATTAAGAGATAATGACGTTAATGTACACAGTGAACTTGTGTTCTGTGTGTACAAAATCTATATTATTTTTTTCTCTGTTCATGTGTACAGGTGTGTATTCTCTTTTGTGTTCAGTTTTGTATGTATCATTTCTGTATTTGTGTGTACTTATGTACATCCAAGTTGGTGTGTGAACACATGTGTGCATGTGTTTCTACCGTATGCGTGCGGTAAATGCCTTCTGATCCTTCTTACCGCTCTGGTGACTGCACCACCTTGTACAGTCCGCTCTGATGTCAAAGAGGATTTAGCACACGGACACATTACACTTTCTTTAGCAACAGAAAACACTTCATTGTAAGCCTCTAAATACAGTAAAACTGGTATTTGATGGAAGCCTTAACCATATTCTTAACACATGAAACAGGTACTAAGAATACACTGAGGAAAGCAGATTACAATTGCAAGGAATGCTGTATTTTGGCCAGTTGTGGGATTTTTTTCTGTTAAAATCAAGCGTTTTTCTTCACCTTGTGTGGGAGCAAAAATGACTTAAAATAAGTAGTATTAAAACCCTTAACAGTGGCCTGCTGGTGCACCAGTCATTGCAATCTCATGCTGAGCAGCCAAACATTGTTCAAACCCACAGAACAACAATTTATTTTTGATGGAATGGTAACTATAAAAGATGATATTTATTTTGTAACAATAGCATCAAAAAGATCTGGAACAAGCTGGTACAGAATATAAATGCGATTCTGTCAGACAGCGCGTGATATAAGGCCATTTTAGCAGCCTTAAAGGTGCTATATACGGGACTAAGAGCATTAGCAGCAAATAACTATTTGCTATGTAAAGATAAGGTGGAGTAAGGGCTACCTGAGCTGAGAATGAAGTCCCTCTACCTCTCTGTGTGTGTTGTAATCAAAGCTTCTCTGTGTTTTGTTTACATACCCTGGCCGGCCGTTATGCCCCATTGGCTAGCTAATGGCCGCTGCCCTGCACTGCGCTCATACGGCGGTTACCGCTGATAACGCAGTCTCGACCATAGACTGTATAAGCCGCTGAGGGTGGTTTCAGCCATCGCCATCTTGGTAGTGACGACACAAGTAACTGCCAGCTAATCCAAAAGTGGGCAAAGAGTTTACGCAGCAGAGGACACAGCTAACAGCTAGCAACCTAAGATGGCACCCACCTAAGCGCCAAGAAGGTTGTTAACACTGTGAGCTTGGTCAGCACTGTTGCCGTTGTTTGCAGTGTTAGTGCTGTTTGCAATGTTAGCACCATTAGCTGCTGGCTGCCAGGTCAGTCGTCACCACATTGAGAGCCGTGTGGAGGCACTAGATATGCTCTAAATTTCTAACTGAGCACCTTTAAAGCTACTTAAGGGAAAACGAAATGGCAAAGCTTAGGGTATGCTAAGGAGTTTAAACAAACTTTAAGTGCAAATGGAAGGTGGTGTTAATCACTGCAGCTAAGTGGTGTCCTCCTGATCTGAAATGTGAAACCATGTACTATCATAGCATCTCTAATTGCCTCTCATCCTCCACTAAAGCACTTAATGTTGCAGAGGCGAAGGAGTTGCCTTACATTCTTGCCAGTACTTAGCTTGGGAAAGCATTATATATGGGCTGCTAGTGATTATCAAGATGGATTGTGGTGACAAATGGCTGCCCAAACGGCCTAAAGCAGCCTCCTGGCAATATTGGCATTAGACACATTTACAGAGAAGAAAAAGCCCCCAAACGACCCCCCCCCCCCCCCCCCCTACTGTTAATGAGCCAACAGCCGAGCGTAGTTTGGGAAAATAGAATCCGCAAATGCAGATAATGACATGGTTCCTCTTTGTAATTGGCTCCAAGTGAAAACATTTCATTTACCTCTCTTTCCCTCTTCATATCCTGTGTATGTGTTTGGGTCTGTCTGTGTGTGTGTGTGTGTGTGTGTGTGTGTGTGTGTGTGTGTGTGTGT